CTATTCTATTCTATTCTATTCTATTCTATTCTATTCTATTCTATTCTTCTGGTAAATTTTAAATATAGCAATAATAACAATGATAAAAGAAGAGGAATTAGCTCTCAACATTCTCAAAATATATGCACAAAGCTTTTAAGTCCAAAAACAACAATCTACCTATGAAAATTCCAAACACAATTGTGTACAAATGTGTTCTATAATATTCCAGTAAGGAAATTTTACGATTACTTCTGTTAAAGATTTGCCTTCTTTTTTTATTATTATTATATATTGTGCAATATTTTTCCCCCTTGCAATACTTCCTTCTAATTCTACTGAGAGTCACTGACATCTCATCCACAAATAGATTGTTCATTGTTACAGGACAATCAATATTCCCAATGAATTTTTCAAAAAATAGGAAAGGCTAAACATCCTGTTATGTTATAACTTACAGTTTGCAACATTCTTTACCACTTGAGTGATGATTCTTTCATTGTTTACTTCTGGATAAGTGACAAGAAGTAGCAAATGGCAGAAGAGTATTATTCAAACAATGCAAATTTTCAGAAAACCACAGGTTCAAATTAAAAGATGGCTCTCAAGTAGGTTATGAATTTGAATAAATCTCTCCATTTCCTCTTGTTTAGGGAAAGTAATCATAACTCGGGCTCAGGCTTTAAATTTTCAAAGTTCTATTTTGCTAGTGGTGAATCAGAACAGTCGCCCTCAGTATTTTTTCAACTTTCATCACTTAATTATATCTGCATCATCCGTCTTCAGCAAGGACTCACCTGCTTGTTCAGAATCACCCCCTTGATCAAAAGTGACATTTTCTGAGTCCATGCTTACCACATCGCTAGCCTCAGTTTCTTTTACTTCTAAGGAAACCAGCAGAGGGGGTGACTCAATGTTTAAAGATTCTGTATGCAACATGCTTTCTTGAGTTTCAACAGAACAGCTCAAGAAGGGTGATATCTCTGTTTCCCTCAGGGCAGATTGCAGAAGTGACAATTCTGCTTCCTGAGAATCTGCTTTAATACATTGTCCCATTTGGGAATGATCTTCCTTTGGAAAAGAATGGTTAGAGGAAAATCCTTCTCTTATCTGGTTAGGTTGTTCACCTTCAGCAGGCTCTCTTTGTGACTTTTGTTCTTCAGACACAACATTATGAGATGAAGGGCCCATTTTACTCTGGTCAGATTGTCCGCTTTCAGTAGATGGCTCTGTCTGAGACTGGTCGTAGGTACTATCATTCTTTTCATCTGGATGCGCAATGTTTGACTCTGTGTTCAGCTCTTCCCTTGAGATATCACTGGGACTCTGTTCTTCAGACTTCTCAGAAGCATCCTGATGAATTATGCTGCTTATTTCCCCAGAGCTACTTACAATATTTGTATCATCTGCTTTCACAATGGGAGAATCACCTGCTTGATAATCCTCTTTGCTCTTTTCTTCTGCTTCTTCCTTTGAGTTTGACATTCCACACTCCTGTAAATCATGTTCTTTGTTCACAGACTGTTCATATTCTTTCAATTCAATAGACAAGGTCAACAAATTTCTAATTTCATTCACATCATCATGAACGGGATGCTCTTCTTCTGCTGTTTCTTTATTTTGTTCTATTGTGATTTCACTGACATTTGTGATTGGAAGGGCTCCCTCTACAACAGTAACTATTTTTGGACAAGATTCACTGCCACCAAAATCTGAAATTATTATCCCCTCTTCTTTTGTCTCCCTAGCTTCATCACCTTCTTCTTCTTGATGGAGTTTTTCTGTTAAGAAAACTTCATTACTTCCAAGGCCAGCATCTGATTCGTCCATTAAATTGGGGGCTGGCACTCTAGCTGGGCTAGCCTGTGCTGATTCTACAGGAGTTTTTAGATCACTCAAACTGGAGACGCTTTCAGAAGGCAGGTTTATTTCCTCATAAAGGTTATGTTTCTTCAGATGGACTGCTTCTTTTATCACTAAGCAGGAGATGGACACAAACAAACAGAGAAAAGATATTCAGCCATATAATAAGAGCACCGAAACATGCTGAGAACAAGGCAATATTAGCTTGGAAGAACTAAATGGAGGGAAGTCTCTTTTCTCAAATCATCCATAAAATTAATAAAGCACCTTCTTCAATCTGGTACCCCCAGATGTATTAGTCTTCAACTCTGACAGTGCCCAGTGAAGGTATAGATAATACATTTTGATTGTTCAACCCTGTTTTAAACCTATTGGTTTATTGGTACAATCCCAAAACTGCTGAATGAAAAAGGTCAAGGTAAAACTTAAAACTGCTTGAAATAATCAGTTCATTTTTATACTTGCCAAGACAGATTGATATGAATCTCATAAGAAGCAAAGTTACCTTTTAGGGATTCATCAAGCAGTGTCTGAAACAGAATCTCTTCATAGACATTTTCAACTTGTATCACACTGTTATATTCAGCAAAGATGTACTGCTCATACTCCTGAAGCATCTGCAGAACAAGATATTATTTAAAGTAATAATGGCTAATTAGAAAACAACACATTTACAGAAAAAATAATAAAGTCTAATAAAAGTGAGGTTTATTAGAATATCTTAGAGTGAAGGTGTCTTAATCTATTTCTGCAATGAGATAAATTTCACTGGGAACTGCCAGAAGTGGGCTCTTCAGACACTGGAAAGAGGATGTGTTTGGCAAAAGTATGAGTACAGATTATCTGCACATTCTTCATTTATTAGGAAAATAGATAGATTTCTTAATTCTTTTGCTGATCACTCTTTGATGCACCAGGAATGTGGCTATCAGTTTTCTAAACTGGTAAAAAATTATCTACATTGATTTAAAAAACATGCAGCCTTTTGCAAACTGCTCTCCTCTTTCTCAAGCTCTGAGAGAAGATGCCACAAATACTATGTACATGTTTATGTCTTTCCAGATATTTTTAAAATATCTCACTCTTATGTATATCTCTTTCATTAACAGAATGTCCATAGGAAGAACTGCATGAATTAATTTTTCAAGTAAACATAACACATGCTTTATACACAGGATCATATAAGTTCTAACTCATTTTTATAGGTATAATATGCAAGGGGTTCTTTGCAACATCTTATCATTTTGCCCAAAATAACTTTAATTATCTTTTACTTTTGCAGAAAAATACAGATTCTCCCCAAGGTCATCTTCAATCCTTATATTTTATTATTTGTTCTAACATGAGGAACTATCCATATTCTGCCCCCAATATATTCCTTAGGCTTTCTAAAAAAAGAAAAGACTAGCTTTTTTACAACAACTTTGGAGTTTTAGGAAGATAGATAGGTTTAAGAAAAACTTGTCATATGTAATCTAAACCACTGAAAATCGGCAGGATTTAAGTTAACCATAAATCCTACATATTTCAATGGCTTGACCCTAAGAATAACTAAGGCTGATTCCAACTCTCTGTTGCTATCTTGTCTCTATAATTTCATTTCCAGTCTTTAAAACTAAAGAACCATTGTCTGCTGACATTATTAGCATTTTAGTTTTGATTTGCAAACCCTATTTTGAGTCATCTATGTCAGTATATTAACCTACCGGTTTATATGTTGAAGCCAATGTCCGCTGCAGTGTGGGCAGAGTGATCTGGACCAAGATATCCTGAAATATTTTCTTCCGGATAGTACTACTGTCATAATCATATTGCTGCCAATTTTGTGGAAAAAGAAGAATCCAGTATGAGATTTTGGAGAGCCAAACACCTACTTCCCAACTTTCTCCCCTGCTAACGTACACTAAAATCAAGGCATAAAGCCAATAACTATCACTATTCCTTCATATTTATCTGTAGGATCACAGCCAAACTCGATGTTACTTTTTTATATAAATATATCACTTTTTACTAAGGAAGTTTTCAATAGAATAAAAACAGTATTGCAATTTGAAAATAACAAGACTAAAGAAAAATAAGTAAAGAAGTAATGAGAGAAAATGAAAAGAAAGATAAGGAAAAAAAGGAAAAGCTTACAAAGATCTTAAGAAGATAAGCAAATTTATTTATTTGTTAATTTATTCATTCATTTATTCTCAATATTAGATCCAACTAGGTATATGGCATTGTATCAACAATAAAACACAGACATGCCTTTTATGTCATCTTTCTAAAATATGCCTCTATGGGTGTCTGGGTTACAGTTCCAGAATCCCAAGCACATCTAAATACATCAGGTTGGGGAACTGTCAGCCCTACAAGGTAGAACTGGAGCAGGCAATAACTCAGTGGAAGATTCACTTTTACTCAGATTGGCTATAGTAACATAACACTGAAAGTCTGATTATGCTCCCTCTATTGTTTATTTTATAACTATATGATTTAGGGAAGTCTCTGAAATGTTTGCACACTGTTGGGTATAACATTGATACACCAACTAAGTTTGGGTGAATAAATATATAAACCAAGGTTTGGGTGTTTGTAACTTGTAGCTTTAAGCACCAAACTGCTTGTAATTAACTAATTAAGGGTGCGGTTACAAACGGCAATAAAAGGCAGTAAGAGAAACGTAACCTCTCTCTGCTTGTTTTTCTGCTTGCTACTGTTTGTTTGCTACTGTTTGCTACAACTGTTTGAATACCTGAACGAAAGGACTATTTCATTGATGTGCTGATATCCTGTGAATACTCAGCGTTGTCTTCAAAAGGAAAGGTATCAGAGGAGAAGATATCTTTACAAGCAGATAAGGATATAGAACTGACTAGTAAATGGACTAAGTTACTGAATGGATATATTTGTGAATGACATATGGACTGATTGACAATGTTTAAACTCTAATTGGATTAAACAACTATTTAAACTACAAAACAGTGTTTGTCATCAGTGTGTGTAAACTCTAGGGCCCTTCCTCTCTCATTTGGCTGCCTGGCTTGACTGCTGCTGCACATTCTGTTTGGGGGTTTGCCCCCAATCACTAACATTGGTTATGGGCCCAGAGCGCACAGTCTAACTAACGAGGATATAGCAGTGAGAGTTGGTGTGAGTTGCACATTACTGTAAAAACAAACTGTTTTTTTTCAGTAGTTTTTTAAATAGTTACATATCTGAAGAGCAATGGCACAAGTAAATTTGCCAAATCTGTCCATGATATCCAGACTAGATGGAACAAACTATGTTTCATGGTCAATGAAATGTAGTTTACTTCTACGAAGAGAAGGTTTGTGGGACATAATAACAAACCCACCAGATGTGACTAACTTAGATCCTAATGTTGAAGAGGATGACAAAAAGATACAAGACTATAAACGAAAGAATGAGCAGGCTTTATGCATCATAGGACTGACTCTCTCTGACCAGCAACTTATCCATATCCGTGGAGAGGAAAATGCTGCAAACTGCTGGGAGAACCTCAGGAAGATATATGTTCGGGACAGTGTAGGAGCTCATATATATCTTACACGCAAACTATTTTGAACACATCTTCAGAAGAATGGAGACATGTTAACTCATTTAAATTGTATGAAGAGCATTTTTCAGGAATTACAAGAAAAAGAGCTTATATTTAATGAGTTGCAACAAGTATACATCATACTGTCTTCATTAGATCAAAGCTATGATGATTATGTGACTGCTTTAGAAGTATTGCCAAAAGATAGTTTATCATTAACCGAGATTACCGGCAGGCTATTAGAAGAAGCCAGAAGAAGATGTGAACGTGACCAGCTCAGAGAGGATAAACCTAATAAAGAAGAGAAATTATCTTCAAAGCTTGAAAGAAACCAACTAAGTAAATTAAAGCACCCGGAAGAAGAGAATTTATCTTCGATGGCATACACAATTAAAAAGTGTTTTAATTGTGGAGGCAGAGGACATTTGGCAAGATTCTGCAGAAAAGAAAAAAGCCAGAATGTAAAAAAGCCAAAGAAATCTTTTGAACTAGCCACGTTTAGCAACTGTGATGTGAAGAATGATTTATGGGTGGTGGACAGTGGTGCATCCCACTGCATCACGAGAGATAAGACAAAATTTATAAAACAAGCTCTCAACATATATCACTTGCTAATGGCTGGAACCTCAAGGCCAAGGGAGAAGGTATTGCATACTGTCCATGCTTAAACCAGGATATAAAAATGTTGTATGTACCACAGTTAAAGGTGAACTTGCTTTCTGTAAGGGTATTAGACAAACTAGGTTATGTAATTACATTTAAGGATAATAATTGCATAATTGAGAAAGATAACAAAAAGGTAACTGCAGCTTTAAATGGAACATTGTATGTATTACATGATAGTAAGAAAGGGGAGGCACAGACTGTATTTAACAATATAAAGCCTCATAATGAATGTATCCATTTATTGCATAGGTGTTTGGGGCATGTAAATTTTAAAATGCTAAAATGTACAGTAGAGTTATCTGATGGAATAAGGTTAAAACCTTGTGATAAATATTTGCGTTGTAATGTCTGCTGTGAAGATAAGAGTAAAATATTGCCTGCAAATAGGCTAAATGGTTTCAAAACTAAAGAACCTTTAGAAGTAGTATTTGCAGACATTATAGGTCCAAAGAAACCCAGTATGGGGGGTGCTCAATATATACTGAGCATTATGGACCATTATTCTAGATATGGGTTTTGCTACCTAATGAAAAGCAAAACTGAAACATATCAACATTTCTTCAACTGGTTAAAATTTGCAGAAAGAAAGACTAAACGGCAACTGATAACCCTGGTGACAGATAATGGTACGGAATTTGTTAACAGCAAATTCCAGAATAGATTAAAGGTAGCTGGAATAGAGCACAAGAAATCTGCACCATACAGACCACAACACAACGCATTTATTGAGAGAAGAGGCCAAACACTACAGGCAATGGTTAGAACAATGTTAACTGATTCTGGATTACCTGATTCTTTGTGCGGGGAGGCCACAATGTGTGCTAATAACATATTGAACAACGTTGTTAACACAACTACTGGTGAAATACCATTCACCATGTGGCATGGCAGGAAGCCTGATCTGAGTTACCTGCACACATTTGGTGCACCAGCATGGGTGCATATCCCTACACAACTCAGGCGTAAAGGGCAACACAGAGCTAAACAATTATTCTTCGTTGGTTACCAAGCAAACCATAGGGCGTATAGATTTTGGGAGAAAGGCACATCTAAGGTGTTATGTAGTGCCAATGCCCAATTTCTAGAGCACGTAGGATGGGATAAGTTAGAACAGGATAACAATAAAGAAGTAATTATTGAATCCTATAGAAATCCCATTAATTATCCCTGTAACTTTAAGAATAAAGTAAAGAGACAAATACAGGCAGAGATAGAGCCCATAAAGGAAGAAATAGTACCAATAGCTGAGCAAGCTGAGGAACATGAACAGGTAGTAATTCAAAAAAGTCCTCAAACAAGCCCTGCAATTCCCAGAAGAACTACACGAATATCTAGACCGCCTGATAGATACCAGGCTAACACAGCGTGCCAGATTAATAAAGTTCCATATACTGTAGATGAAATAAACATGTATCCTACTAAAGATAAGGAAAGTTGGTATGCAGCAATGAATAAGGAATTAAAATCCTTAAAGGATATGAAAGTATATGAAAATGCGAGATTACCTGTTGATATAAAACCCATTGGCTGCAAATGGATTTTTAAGATAAAAACTGAAAAAGATGGTAATATAATCCATAAGGCACGATTAGTAGCCCAAGGTTTTAGACAAAATGCCAATGACTATGATGAGGTATTTGCACCTAACCTTAAAGCAGCAACATTAAGGGCAGCTTTAGTGTGGGCAGCAAGTAAGAAATATATAGTCAACCATCTAGATGTAGAAACTGCTTACTTGCACGCTCCACTAAGACATACTGTATACATGAAAAAACCTATCGGATTTAAAGGTGAAAATAATAATGATTATTGGTTGTTAAAAAAGAGCCTCTATGGTCTTAAACAATCAGGCTATGAATGGAACCAGTATATTGTAAAGGAACTAAACAATATAGGGTTTAAAGCCGGTTTAGCCGATCCATGTCTATTTAAAAGGGAGACAAATGGGAAATTATCATTATTACTATTATTCACAGATGATATTGCTTTGATTACAGAAACTAATGATGAAGCCAATAAAATAATAGCATCATTAGCTAAGAAAATAAAAATCAAGCAATTAGGGGAGATAAAGAAATATCTAGGTTTGAATATACTGAAAACACAGAAAGGTTTTAAGATATCTCAGGAGGATAAGATATCTAAATTGCTAATAGATTATAAGATGGAACTTTGTAAGACTACAAAGACTCCAATGAGTCAGGATATTTGCAAAATGGATACTCAAAGTCCCAAGTTTGATAAGGTAATATATCAATCTTTGATTGGTAGCTTATCATACATTAGCAATTGGTCAAGGCCAGATATAGCTTATGGTGTTAATCAACTGGCACGACATAATAATGATCCACTTCAATGTCATTGGAAAGCATTAAAGAGAATTTTAAGGTATCTTAAAGGAACATTACACCATGCACTGTATCTAGAACCAAAAGGTGATCTAATACTGAGTGCTTATGCAGATGCTAGTTTTGCATCAGAAAGAGACACAAGAAAGTCGACTTCAGGAACAGCCATAATGCTGGGTAAGACATTAATAGGTTGGAAGTCAATAAGACAACAGCATATAAGTTTGTCTACCATGGAAGCAGAATTCTCCTGTTTGTCGTTATTATGTACTGAATTAATCATGTATAAGCAGATGATGAATGACATGGGATTAACTGTAAATTATCCTATAATTGTACATGAAGATAATCAGGCAGCAATTCAAATGGCCACAAATATTGCAGTAAAAACTAGGAGCAAACATACAGATTTAAGGTACTTAAACGTTAGACAATCTGTAAAGAGTAAAATGATACAGCTGGAGTACTGCATGTCGGAAGACAATATAGCTGATAACTTTACTAAAGCCCAAGGTGCCATTAAGCACCAAGAGAGTTGTGTAAAGTATGGTTTTAGATTGTAAGGGTATTATATATTTATATCACCCAAAAGGGGAGAATGTTGGGTATAACATTGATACACCAACTAAGTTTGGGTGAATAAATATATAAACCAAGGTTTGGGTGTTTGTAACTTGTAGCTTTAAGCACCAAACTGCTTGTAATTAACTAATTAAGGGTGCGGTTACAAACGGCAATAAAAGGCAGTAAGAGAAACGTAACCTCTCTCTGCTTGTTTTTCTGCTTGCTACTGTTTGTTTGCTACTGTTTGCTACAACTGTTTGAATACCTGAACGAAAGGACTATTTCATTGATGTGCTGATATCCTGTGAATACTCAGCGTTGTCTTCAAAAGGAAAGGTATCAGAGGAGAAGATATCTTTACAAGCAGATAAGGATATAGAACTGACTAGTAAATGGACTAAGTTACTGAATGGATATATTTGTGAATGACATATGGACTGATTGACAATGTTTAAACTCTAATTGGATTAAACAACTATTTAAACTACAAAACAGTGTTTGTCATCAGCGTGTGTAAACTCTAGGGCCCTTCCTCTCTCATTTGGCTGCCTGGCTTGACTGCTGCTGCACATTCTGTTTGGGGGTTTGCCCCCAATCACTAACACACACTTTCTACAAATCCCAAAGATTCTACAAATCTTTGTTGTCTTACTTTCTGTCTTTTGTACCGTAACATTTCCCCCATTTCTTCTTCAAATCCATCCTCTTTATCTACACATCAGTTCAAATTTGACTGATCATGAAAAGCTTAGCAAAGATGGAAATGGCTAAGTACTTCAGTGGAAAGCCATTAACAAATATCAGAATTATAGATTGGGAAGTTTTTTAAAAATGCAAAAAAGCAATGGGAAACTATTTTGGTATTATTGCCAAGAACATTACATGGACCTGTCCATTAAGCCTCCAAGAATCAAGTTTGATTCCAACAAGACTTTACCCTTTTATTTTATACAATGGCTTTCTAAAAAGCTGATTTCTATTTAGTGACTTTGATTTGCTCTGAAACTCATATCCAAAGTTCTGTATCTCATCCAATCTCTATCAGGACACTCTGGAGTGTATTTAATCTTATCAAAAGATATGAAGGGGAATTGGAAAATAGTCATCTGACCTTGCATAGTGTAGCATAGGATGCAAATTCAAAGACATACATATATACATTTTGCTGCTCACTTTATTGTCAATTCTCTTTTTTTTTTTGCAAAAGTCACCTTAGACCCATGTTGCACATATATATATATGATAGTATATGTCCATTCAGAATTGAATTAGAAGTCAGACTTCTAATTATGCAGAAGGCCAACTTCAGATATATTACCTAATGCAACTCAGGCTCCATATAGAAATACATTTAAATAGGATGTAATGCATATTTTGCTACCATGAACAAACCCAAGTTTTCCTTTCCTTCAGTAAGTCCTTAATGATTTCAAAATGTTAGCTGTTTTACTTATTATCTCTCTCAATTTCCAAATTTCAATTTTCAACTTCTTCTCCTTTAGGTGTACCATTAAATTTATTTTCCCATAAAAGCAGCTCTGCTCAAACACACCTTTACTGTGTTTTCAATATATTATCATGATCACCATTGTCTCTTATCAACACAATACAGATTAAAGACATACTATTAAAATATGTAGTATTTTTCATCTAGACAATTCAAATAATTATCTGTACTTTTCATTAACAGAAATATAAATAAAATACCTTATTTGGCATTTGGATTTTATAATGAACATTATAACCCAACATTCCTACTTTGAGAACAAGCAAAAGAAATAAATACTTCACCTTAAGAACACGAAGTTTGACTTTTTCAATGGCTGTTGCCATTTTAGTTATGTCTTTGGAGTGATTTAAACCCAGTAGTTGCTCAAATGTGTATACTGCATTTTCCAGAATCTAAAAACAGATAAAAAAAATAGTTGCCTTATTTATTTTCTTGCAGATGTCCATCTGCCACTCACATCTGTCTCTTTGTCAACATCTAACTACTTTATTTGTAGATAGAAATATTTATTTACAAGGCATGTTGGCAATGTTTTTTCTTCTTATTGCAAATACCTTTGTCTTCATGAATTATTCCATGAATTGGTTTGTACATAAAGTCATCATGCAGGTTTTTTGTTTATTGTTAGTACATTATATGAACCCATGTATTAGAGCTTTTAAATCATGCTCAATAAACTGTGGCTCAGCGTAATCCACAAACCATTTATGTTTATATCATCAGAACCTTGCCAGATGGGAGTGAATCTACCTTCATGACTATGTGATTCAGAGATTTGATTTAAGTGGCCTTGGTTACATCTCTAAAAGGAATTCTAACTTGCATTTGGGATCCCAAATCATTAGAAATCATAAAAGGGGTGACCAACTATTGGTTGGCAAGTAATCCAAAGCTATATTAAACTCAGAAAATTGGCCTGCATATTGCTGATGGTCAAAGTATATATGAATCATATCATACCTCCTGCATTACATTATGTGTCCTCTGGATAACCAAGTCAATGTTGTGGAATTTGAAGCGAGTCTTGAGGTCCTGGTGTTGCTCTTGAAGAAAATTGACTTTTAGATAGCAAGGCTCCATTTTGACAGAGTTGTTTGGCAGGTTCATCAGGTGATTCACATTCTGTCAGAAACACAGATTGGGAAGGAAGTAGATTTTCCAGTAATGGTACATTTACTATCCATTAAAAATTAGAAGGTTGTGTAACCCGGTAGTTATACCATTGCAGCAGCCCTTGGTATCATATGGTAAGGGAGAAAGATTTCTGGAGTTTTGCTGGCCTTCCTCAGTAAAAAGGAATGATTAAGCTATCATGGAAGGAAAGGGAAAGGAAAGAAGGCAATTCCTGAATTGTATCCTCATGTTACATCGTTGACTTGTGTCTTCTGCTCTGCTGCAGTTTATCTATAGTATCTAAATCTATATTATCCATATCTAAAGATTATATTTTTGTAGGATGTATTGTACAATTTTTTCCCTTTCAAACATGTTGTTTCTGAGATTTTCAGGGGAATGATTGTCTAACAATAAACAAAAACATGACAAGTCCAGGTTATGGAAAGTAGTTTACCAACGTTTATAATCCTGTTCTATACATTTCATGTGAGACAGGTTCTTCTTATTTTTCATGTACAGATAGAAACTAAGAGATAGTTATTTGCCAAAGGCAAGGGTATGGGATCTCAGTCAGACTTGGAAACATCTGACCAAGATAAATCTATCATGCCACAGAGAAGAAACTGAAGGCTAATGACCCTAAGTGACTTCCATTCATGCAGAAGGCAAATAATTTATCATCACGGTTTGCTTACCTCATTTAGTGTTGCAACATCATTTGTTGCTTGAAAGGTTTGGCTGATTGCGTTGACTTCCTTTTCAAACACCAGACAGACTTCGGTGAATCCAGAGCTCACTGGCCCCATGAGTTCCTCTAGTACAGAAGCTAAAAAGGGCTGAATACTTTCACTGCAACAGATCTGGATAGGTTCAGCTATGCTCCCTGAAGATTTAAGATAAACCTGAATTGAACTCTAAGAAGGAAGAAGACTTTAAACAAAAATTGCCATCTACACATAGTCCTCCCTTACTGTCTACGCATTCAGCAAACATTTGAATTTGCAACAGCACTCAAAAAATAGATTCAGAACCAGTCTCAGCAACTAGCATGCATTTATAATGGTCGCTGTGTCCCATGGTCATGTGATCATCAATTCTGACTTCACTGCCGGTTTTCAACATTAGAGTAATATAGTACAGTAATATGTAAAACTCTGAAAAGCCTGTTAGCAAATATGTGATTACTTAGCAATAATGGTAACAGGTACATTAAAAAACACCTTCCAGAGCTTCACAGAGCAAGCAAAGAGGTGGGAGAGAGTCAGATGGTTTCTAAATCAAATAAATAAAACTCATTAATTTCTTTTCACTGGGCATGAAACTCAAAAAATTGATTTCTAGATTGCTCCTATTATCTGCTATTGGGTCAATTCAATTTTTATAAGCTTTGCAAGGTTTAAAAGCCTAAATCAATCCCCTAAAACACACACGTCAAACTTGTTATGAAAGCAAAGGATATTCTGGGCCATGTGGTGAATTACAGTTCAAAGGTAGCTTAATAGTTTCCATATTGCCCAAAAAGGAAACAGGTAAGGGAACTATAAGAATGAGGTCACACATAATTTTTATTATCAAAAAGAACAGAACCAACATCTATCACCAGTTGGATTGTAGGACTGGGACTACTTATGCATGCATGTAGACATCATATTGTAGAAATGCAAAATGTATAAGTTGGTGCATTTTACATACCAGCATACCACTTAATTGAAAAACATAATAATGGGCCTTTTTCACTGTAAGTGAATACAAGTACAGTATAAAACCACCAGCATAGTATGCAATGATGCTGCCCTATGATGCAATTACATTTCAGAATTAAGAAAATACAAGATATTTTCTCTTGAAAGCTGAATGCATCTGGTCACTTCAATAGATTCCTGATGCAGAATAATTTGCACCAGGATGAGCCCTGTCTGCATGTCATATTAGAATACAGTATTGGAAAAATGTGGTAGTATCAGAATCTAACCAGTTCTATCATTAAGCAAGCTTTATTTACTTGAATTAGAAATAATTAATTTTTGATTAATTAATTGATTTGATTATGTGTCATTGTTTTCAACTCCCAGTGACCACATAGAGAGTTTTTCTCCATGATGATCTATCCTTAACCTGTTCTTTCAGGTTTCCCAACAGTGTACTCTTTACCACTGTATCCATCTACAGCTAATATTCTTCTATTTCCTTCTACCTTTCCCAGGATTAGAGATTTTTTCCAGAATCTGGGTCTTTGCATAATGTCTCCGAAATATAATAATTAAAGCCTGGTTATTTTTGCTCAAATGGACAAATTGAGTTAATTTGTTCAGTGATCCTTTGGTTTGTTTTCTTGATTGTCCACAGTATTCTCAGGAGTCTTTTCCAATACAAAAGTTCAAAAGCATGTATACTCTTCTATCCTTCTTCTTTAAAGTCGAACTTCCATTTCCATAGAGCAGGGATACCCAACCCCTGGTCCATGGACTGGCAACATATGAGCAATTGGGTCACACAAACAAGCAAAGCCCCAGCCATGGGATGCAATCAGCATACAAAACCACATCCTCTCTGGTCCACGGAAAAATCTCTCTCCCTGGAACCATTCTCTGGTGCCCAAAATATTAGCGCTGCTGCCATAGAGTATCACAGGGAGTATCACAGATTCTGATTTTTACAGTATAGACAAGTTTTTCTCAACCTTGGAAGCTCTCAGATGCATGGACTCAAACTCCCAGAATTTCCCAAGTAGCCTGAGGGTTGGAATTCACCCAAATAAGAACTACAAGGTTGAAAACACTGGTATAGACACATCACAGTATTTGACATTTTTTCCATGACTGCTCCACCAAGTGTTAGTCTGTGGTATATTTCTTGACCATATTGTAATACCAATATCATTAAAACAGCTATAAATGTTGGGTTTCAGTCATCGTGGAGATACTCCATAGCAGGCAACTAAATACTTTTAATAATATTACAATATGATAATTAATTATTTCTAACTCAAGTTAATAAAGTTTCCTCAGTGATGGAACTGATTTGCAGATTCTGTTACTATGAGATTTTCCAATATTCTGACAAGATATGCAACCCAATTTATGCTTTTTAAAGAAAAAAAAGCTGTAATTGCTCAATAAATGTGCACCGAACTGCAGGCCAAAACTGGAAGTGCTATTGATCATCTTCATTTGTACTATACTGTTTATTTTATTTTATTTTATTTGCTTTTTAACAAAATAGAATTACATCATATACACTATTAAGCATGCATTTGCTGCATCCACTTAAACAGGGATTTCCATCTCAAAAGAAATAACATGCAGTATGAACATATTATAAAATATTTGGGCCCATGCCATATAAATGTAGATATCCTCAAAAGAGGCAAACATTAAAAAAGTCTGAATTAATTTTCTTTTAGATATATGCAAATTAGAATTGTCAACTGATACTGTGATTAATAGATGTAAAAAGGAAAAACACAAAAGGCTGATTGTGTGACATTCAACTTACCTTTTATTTTTGTAGCCAGAAAGTCTTTCGAAGTGACAATCTGGTCTATATTTGAACGAATAGTTCCCTCTAGTCCTAGAGTGACCTTTTTGCATTCTTCTTTTAGAGCACGTAAACCATCTGATACCTGATCATGGACCAAATGGTATGTTTCTTCTAGAATCTATAACAAAAAGCATGGAATGAAATTATTTGCTATCCATGCAAACCAGCTCCAAACCAGCTTCATGAATTAACTACGAAGTTAATGAATACTCTTGTAATTAAAATATAACTTTTATATAAGTAGAGTCACATATGTTATTAATACATGTAGGCTTTGACTTCAGACTATAATTGAGCCCAACATTTCTGTTGCATTTGTTAACTGAATTTTGCCCATTTTACAATCTTTTGTACCACAGATATTAAGTGAATAATTGCAGTGGTTAAGTTAGTCACACAGTTATGAATGAATCTGGCTTTCCATTGACTCTGCTTGTCAGATGGTCACAAAAGATAATCACATGACCCCAGGACACTGCAACCATCATAAATATGAGCCAATTGCCAAGCATCTGAATTTTGATCATGTGACCATGGGGATGCTGCAACAGTTGTAAGTCATAAGAGTCATAAGTCAATTTTTTTCAGTGCTGTAATAACATTGAATGGTCACTAAATGAACTATTGTAAGTTGAGGACTACCTGTAACCTTTGCCTCTCAGTGGCTATTTCTAGCTGCAACATCTCTTGAAAGATACTAAGTTCCAGATTAACGAAAGAACAAATGGTTTTGAAATATTTAGTGAAAAGAAGTCTGAGTTTTGCCATTTGCTAGCAAGGAACATTCTAGAGGAGTGATGGTTTGAATGCTAGTTACACTTATAAACAACCTGCTTCTTATTTGAAACATACTATTTTTTTTAAAAAAAAAGGTAACATACATCTCTGAAATATTCTACTTTTCAAAAGCATGAAAATAGTCTACTTTTATTTCAGTTTAAGACTTATTGACTTCATATACACATTCAGGAGATTTTCTTGAACAGAAGTGGTTATCAACTTATGGTTTTGTTTTTTGTTTTTAAAAAGAACTTCCTGATCAGGCAATATAATATAATACTTACACAAAACCATGCCCGCTTTCGGTCGTTTCTTTTTCCTTTCATTTTAGGGAGCACCATGCTCTGAAGGCTAGGTAGGAGCTCCTCCATCACAAGGTTGCTAAGAATCTGGAAAGAGATAAAATTTAATAATTTTGTCTTTTGGTTTGAGGAGAAAAGAAATTGGTTAGACCTGAGAATGGTTGAGATGAACATGCTTTTCAGAAAAATCTTTCCATAAAGAATGGAATTCTGTCAAAAAGAATGGAAGACTTTTCATAAAAGTTTTCTATTCCCATGCTTCCTGATGTAATTACCTGATTTTCATTTCCTATAATCATTTCCGACAGCCCATAATGGCCTTTCTCCTGACGGAAAAACTGGACAGCTTCTAAAAATGCTTGACTTTCAAAGGAAGGCTGCTTGAAAGGATCTGAAAGATACAAGAAACAACTGATTTGAATAAATAAATGTGAAGTTGGTTTTCTTTGACATAGTGTTTTAAGGAAAATAAAACCTTGACTGCTTGTTTAGCTATTCATTCTTGATAGCATTAGCACTTAGATTTATATACCACTTCATAGTGTTTTACAGTCCTGTCTAAGTGGTTTACATATTACATACCCCAACAATTGAGTCCTCATTTTACCGACTTGGGAAGAATGTAAGACTGAATCAACCTTGAGCTGGTCAGGATCAAAGTCCAGGGCAGAGTCAACTGCATTCTAACCACTGCACCACCAGGTCTCTGATACCTGAAGGTTTTTTTTGCAATTACTTGTTTTTTCAGTTGCTAGGTACGAAATAATTTTGATAGGCAAAGCCTATTATGAAACCAACCAGGCAAGTAATGCACCATGCTACATGAAAGCTCAGCCATAACATCTTGTCTTTTGTATGTGAAAGAGCATCCCTCTAGCATCTTCCCTAAGACATTTTTTGTTCTAGGAAAGCCTTATGAGCAAAAGCCTCATAGCAGCCCAGACCAAAAGGATCCTGATATTAATATATAATTTGATCAACTTTCATTATATTTGAAATTTATTATTTTAATTGTACAAAGACAAATTGTCCTGATAAAGTATATGAGGCTTGAGACAACCAGACAGATAAAAATGCCTTTCTGACTACCTAGACTAGAAATCAACATAGATATCTTTAATTTGATCACTATATAGCTGTTAACCTCCAAAAAGTCCTCACCAAAATAATGGAATAATTCTAATAATATAAGAAGAATGCATTCTAGGCAGCAAGTATATTTCAGTGTAAACAAGTGTAAATTGATGCAAGTCGGCAAAGAAATCCAAAATTTCATATATAAGCTGGCACTAAGTGACTAGGAGCTTTTCCACATTGTTTGAATCCTACACATGAACTGGTTGCAAATGAAGTCAAATGAATAAAATCCCTTTCTGGATTTCAACTCCTTCCTCTATTTTGGTCATATTCTTGTGAGGGCTTGCTACTGTCCAGTTTGTGCTTCAGCCAGGAAGTTTCTAATTCTTCCTGGAACTTAGGCTGCTATAGAAGGGGACACTTGATAGAACTCTGGTCAATTTCACCCAGTGCTTTTTTTAAAAAGAAATCATCCTTTCTCTGCTGACCTTTAAAAAAATAATAAATGTGATTTAACTGATCTGCTATTAAACCTATAAAAGGAAAGGAGAGGGGGGAATTCTGCCTTTAAGAACAAATAGTCCAGTACAAATGGCCATCAAATACAGAGAATGGGTTCTGGAAAGCATGCCTGTCAGAATACGCATTGGCCAATTTGAAAGGAGGCCTTTGTTGAGGATGGAATGAGGTTGAGCAGGTGGACTGGACTGTCCCGTTTGAATCATAGAGGAGGAGAAGCATTACTTTTGTTGTAGAACCAGAAAATTCAGATGAGTATCACCTTCCCAGAAGATTAGGGGAAGGCAGAAGATGACATCATCCATCCCTTTGCTCCCCAAACAGTAATGGAGCTCATGATGAGGCAAGTAGGAAATAGAGATCAGCCTCTAGAAAGAGATCTTAGGGTCAAAGTGGACAATTCAATCATTTCATGCTTGGAAGCCTTAAGAAAAGGAGTGAAAATATAATTGCTAATACTGTAAAAATCTATGATAAGAACATGTTTCAGAGTGTTGTGTAGCTGCACTTAAAGCATACATTATAATATATATCAGCATGCATACATGAAAATGATTAAGGAGTTTCAGCTCTCTGCGAAGAAAGATTATTTCACTTAGCATGAAGGAAGATAAGGGAAGATCTGATAAAGGCATATAATGACATAGAAGAGAAAAAAAATGTGGCCAAAGAACATTGGTTATTCTCTGACAGTGTTAGAACTCCGGTTCATGCATTGAAACTTATAGCAGGAACATTTAGAACTAGCACTTTTTTCCTAAAGTGCACAGTTAAACTGAGAATTTGATACTGACAGTTGTGATAATAGAAATTTGGATCATTTAAAAAGGCCCTGGACACAATTGTGAAAAATGAGGCTATAGTAATTACTAATTCTGATACTGGTTATTCATTGGCTCTTCTATCATAGGTAGTGTGCCATGAATACTATAAAAAGAAAGTAGGAAAAGACTATCATATCTGTTGTTGCATCCTGTGAGGCAGAATCACATAGGTTTCCGAAAAGGGCAAAATACAGAAGCTTGACAGACAGCTGGCTTTAGAAATTCTCAGATTAACTCAGTACATGTAGCATAAATAATCTCAAATTTCTTTGTCACATTTCTCTTCTTCCTGGGTTGAGATGTCTTTTTTGCAATGATGCAGTTTCCACCCCCAATTAGCTATGGGATGTCCCACATGGCTCCCACTATATTGCCAGTGGAACTGCTAAGCAAATATGAGATTTAAATTTTATTTCCGGACTCTGCATTTCAACAAACATATAGTAAACACTTGGTGTTTGATGCTGATGAGGAGAATGAAATGGAATGGATACACACACACGCACATATGTACATATAGATAGTCCTTGTTTTACGACCCCAACTAAGCCCAAAATTTCTGTTGTTGAGACTGTTAAATGATTTTTATCCCATTTTATGACTTTTCTTTCCACAGCTGTTAAGTGAATCATTGCAATTGATGTTAGTAACCCAGTTGTTAAGTGAATCTGACTTCCCCCTTGACTTTGCTTGTCAGAAGGTCACAAACGATGATCACATGACTCCGGGATACTGCAACTGTCATAAATACTAGTCACTTGCCAAGCATCTGAATTTAGATCATGTGCCCATGGGGATGCTGCAAAGGTTGTAACTATAGAAAATGATCATAAGTCACATAAATTTACTAAGAGAACTGTTGAAGGTCAAAGACTACCTGCATAAGGTTTGGGGGGAGGGGGGGGAATGGCTGGAAGCTTCCACCAAAAGCAGAAAAGAAGTCAGATGAAGACCCAGAAACTTTCATCATTGTAGTGGTAGGACTAAGTCCCATATTTTCAAATTTAATTGTGATGCTCATTTCTAACCAGGACCATTTGTGGAGTGCTGGTATCTGAATGCAGAGAAGATACAACATGCTCATCCCTTCTGCCTTAGTCACTGTCATTGGTAATGGGTCTTCTCACACATCCACATGCTTTCAGAGATAGGAGTAGCACCCTTCCTGAATCCTAAAATGACAGTGGGCCCGGGTTAAAGAAAAATAGCTTAGTTAGAAGGTATAGTTTTTCACTCGCTGGGTATTACAGCAGATTCTCAAACACTAGAAGAGCCAAAGACTCTTTTTACTTCATAAAAGTTCCAAAGAAAACAGACTGATTTGAAATGTTATAAGGCGCATAGTCTTAAAGGCCAAAAATATCAATTTTAGTCTTAAAGGCCAATAGAATAATCAATTACTAGATTCACTTGATAGTGTAAGTTTGGGTAATCAGAATGAATAAAGGTATTCAAAATGCCTATTATTATATCACTAAAATGAGGGGGGGGGTTGTTTCAGTTTTTCTTTAAAAACAGACTAGCAGGCATTTGGCAATATAGTATTTTTGGAATAATTTTTACCAATTGGGAATTCATTCTGTTACCACTGAATTTAATCCAAACAATCTTCTGTAACATTATGCTATACCTCTTCTGAAAATTGGAATAAGATCCTAAACCTAATCTTTGGAATAACAAAACACGATTATTTATTATTTCTTTAGTTGATTCTAATAACCAGGGAACTACTAAAATTTATTAGATAGCTTTGCCTGCTGTATAGCACAACATGACATCATCATTCCACAGGGATGAGACAATTATTCTTTTTCTTGTTTGGGGAACAAACAAACAATTAGCTTGATACAGTAGAATGCTAGCAAACATGAAACTATTTTCTGGATTGTGTCATCTGAACCAGAACTAAGTGCTCTGCACAGAATACTTTTCTGTTCTAAATAGGAAGTTAATGAAATATAAATATAGATTCTCAAGAACTTATTTTTGTAAACACTTTGTTAATTACTTTTACTCACCTATTCAATTTAAATCTGGGATGGAGGAATAAGAATGGCAATTATTAATGAAAAAATTAGCTGCTGAAGAAAAAAAAAGGATCCTGGTATCAGAGTTTGTTTCAATTTATGGCTTAAGAGATACCAAGATCCTAAACTGTCACTTCAAAGTTTGTTCACCCATGATTTAGTGTGACTCTTTATCTTGCTATAATTAAGTGATAATCCTGTTGCATATTTGAAAGTCTCTACTGAAAAGCAAGAACTTTTAGATAACTTAAAAGGTTCCCAAGGGGATTTTCCTAGGATGGCTCATCAAGCACAGGTAATCAACTGATGCATTAATGAGATTTCTCTCAGAGGTACAGAACTACTTCTATTTGTTTCTGGGAGTAGAATAGTATTTTTCCTGTACAAAATCCCTATGGGTAAGCAAGGGATCTTTATTTATAATGAAAGTTAAGAATTCATGAAGTTTTATTTGGAAGGGGTTTGCCTCCATTTCTATAATTGTTGTTGCTCTACTTTCCAGTCTAGTCTACAACCCTAGCATTTTTTGTTGATATCTCAAGTATTAAGCAGACCCTGCTTGACATATTTTTAATATCAGCCAAAGTATCTAGAGGCTGCTACCTGCTGCAACGAGTGAAGATGCTGTTGAATCAAGGTTAACGTTGGTAACTGCATTTATGAACTTTTCTTGCCAGCTTTGTGGAAGTAATTGCCACTGGATTCTTGGGGACATTTTTAACTTTCCAGCCTTAGCCCACAGCTCTGGAATTTCTGGGCAACTGAATGCCTACATTCAAACATGCATGAATAAATCCCAGGTACCCAAAATAAATCTAATTCTCTCACAGATATGTGAGAAGCAATTATTGTAATATATAAGATGTCGATCATTATGAACAATGCTTTTGTGTTGCAAAATCTTTCTTGGAGACCATTTTCCCAATGTAAATAAACAGATGAGC